AGAAGCGCCTGGGCCGTGGCTTCACCGTTGAGGAGCTGAAGGCAGCCGGTGTCAACCCTCGTGTTGCCCCGACGATTGGCATTCGCGTGGATCGCCGCCGCAAGAATAAGAGTGAGGAGGGCATGAACATAAACATCCAGCGCCTGAAGACGTACATGAGCAAGCTGGTGCTATTCCCTATGAGCTCCAAGAACGTACGGAAGGGTGAGGCCACCGAGGAGGAGATGAAGGCCGCCGCTCAGGATCGCACCCGCTTCGGCACTGCGGCTGTTGGTGGTCTTGTGACGCCAGCCCCCGAGGCCCCGCGCAAGCTGACGGAGGAGGAGCGCACAAAGAACGTGTACAAGTTCCTCAAGAAGAACCACAGCGCGGTTCGCTTCTTTGGTGCCCGCAGGGCTCGTGCAGAGCGAAAGGAGGCCAAGGAGAATGAGAAGAAGTAAGGCGTGCAAGCTCATTTTTTTTTTTTTTGGTTTGAATACTTTGCCGTTTTTTTGTAACCGGGTCACTGACCAACACCGAGCGCTTTTTTTTAGAGGCTTTCAAAAATATTTGTATCTTTCAATGGCGGTGCGCACATGCTTGAAAGTGTTGTTGGATTAATTTTTTTTTTTTTTTGTTGTGTGTGTGTGCTTGCGTTTCCGTTTTTTTTTCTGTCATTGTTGGTGTTCCCGCACCAGGAATAGGGACGAAAGCATTCAGACACACATAAAAGAAGATAACATTACTGACGCACACACGCGTAAAATAGTACCAGGTGGGTGGGTGATTGCGTTAGAGGAATTACTGACGCTTCTCTGTGGCCAGAGGAACAATGTTGCAAGACCGTTTTGCCCATTTGCGCGTCGTCGACAGCGACTCCGACTCGGACGATGTGCAACTCAACAGATACCGCGACGTGAGTCGCCCCTCCGTCACCGCACCGAGACTGAAAGAGGACACTTTTGGGATGTTGAACCCAGCAGCGCCAGCAGCACCAGCAGCAGCTTCTTTTTTGGTTCCTTCGGCTGCCGGAGGGAAACAAGGCCCGACAAGAGCGACGGCGCCAGCTCAAGAACAGGTACGCTCCACAACTGGTCCACCATCAGCTGACTTTACTAATGTCCCTCATTCGATCAAGGGAAGTTCCTCGCTCGCCCCAAGCCCTGAGAAAAACTTTCCAAAGCGGAGGCTCAGCAACACTGCAACTACTGCTACCAGAAGGTCTTCGGCGTCTAGGTCAGTGCAAGGAGGTGGAAAACCTAATGTGCAGAAGGAGTCGCTCAATTCCACTCGTGTCATTCCTGTTGTTCCTCCACCGGCGTCCGTTTCAGAGAAAAGTGTGGAGGCGTCCGTGGAGGCGAAAACACCACCAAAAAGTTCCGTGAAGTTGCTACAAGATCTACGCGAGCTACAAGAGATATACGAGCTGCAGGGTTCACAAGAGCCACAAGGGATAAACGAGCCGCGAAAACTACACGAGCTACAAGAGCCAAAGGCTACGACGGCGACGGCACCAAACGTCGCGGAAAGCGGGAAACAAACGGAGGCGAACTCCAATACGGTACCAGCTGAGGAGTCAGTCACCGAAATGGAGGAACCAAGAACCGCAACTAGCGGTCAAGTAAACGAGGAGCTCAAGGATGCAGCAACCAGCAGTTCAAAGCCTGTAACCTCTACAGCTACTGGTCCTGGGGACGCAGAAGTAAGACGCGTCTTGGCAGAAAAATATTGGGAAAAAACGCACGGCTTTGATCCATGTAGGCGAGGTATGCCGCTCTTTGTGGCCCTAGAGCATAGTCCCTCTAAATATGCACAGATGCAGTTCAAAGCAGAGAAGCGCAACGTATCGAAGGCCAAACCCGGGGTGGTAAGCGAGTTGGGACCTCGTCAAGGCGAGAGTGAGCAGAATACTTCGGAACTCGAAAGAGAAACAAAGTTCCCTGACGAGGAATTGGTTGTGGCTGCCCGTGAAGATGGGTTCAATCAGGAAGAGGACGCGGGGGTTGCGGTGCCCGCGATTACTATGTCTAGCGTGGCTCTTATGAAGAATGAAGCTGCAGGGGGCGCGCGTAGCATTACACAGACAAACGAAGGTGGCGAGATGCAACAAGAGCACGCAACACACCCGAGTAGCGCTTCTGGAAAGGGAAGCGAGGTAAACGAGCCTAATGCTTCTCATAAGGCTGCCTTGATGAAAGAAGGGGTTAACGAGTTGCACAAGACAGCAACTTATGTTAACAGTGAAATGGAGGACAATGTGGGGGATGGACCGGCTCGTCCTACGGAAGGAAATCAGACCTTTCTTTTGGAACCATTTGAAAAGGTCCAAAGCGTTCCCTTGAACAATAAAGGTAGCGCTGAGTTGCCAAGTAGCGCACACGCAAGTGGATGTGTCGAGAGCGCGAAGACGTCTCAAAGCAATCGGAGGAGTATCAAGAGCGACGTGAGTCATTCCATCACGGGGATTGAGCAAAGGGGGAAGTTGGAACGTGTTCCTAACGACGATGGGTCTTGGGTCAAGCAAGAACAACTCATGAATGGTGGGATCATGAGCAGCTCTCTGACGGAGAAGCGTGAGGCTCATTTACTGAAGGAAGGTGCTGTGCCGGAAAATAATGAGACTTTTAACAAGAGCACGGAACCACCGCACACGTCGGGACTAACCGTCGATGTCCTGCGAAATTACATTTCAAACAGCTATGAAGAGGGACCCAGAGGAGAACACGCTGAAGGTATGGAATACACGGACTCCTCTTTGTATAAGACGTGTCTTTCCCCAAGGACAAACGACGATGGGGGTCTTTGGAGGGGAAGAAATCTGCCCAAGCGTTATGCTTATCCCAATTACTGTGGAAGAGGCCTTTCAACGACGCCAGGGCTGGCTATACCACCTTTTCACAGACGCCTCATTTTGGACATGGAGGAGAAGATGCAGCGAGAGAGGAGGGCTCTAGAGCACTCGCTGAACGAATACACATTTCACCCCCAGACCTCTGCTGTAATGCGTGGAAGGTTGCCTCAACGGCGAAATAAATTAACAAACGCTGATTTATCGGAATCGCCGCATCAGAGTTTGGCAGTGACTCCACGACGTGCCTCATCGCGGCGCATAGTAATGGAGGATCCACGACCTATATTTACACCAGAGATCTCCAAATTAGCGCGAGAGACACAGCGGTCGAACCTACCTTACCATGAACGTTTGTACACGACAAAGCCCACCTTGTCACGGGTGAATGCAGCCGGCGTTTCAAACGACCCTTCCCAGCATTTGTCATCACACATGTTGGAGCTTATTGACAATTCAACCTCTCCACTGTTTCATCCGATCATATCTCCTAGAGCCAGAAACATTGAGAACGCTGCTCCGTTTTATCAACGCCTCTACCAAACGAAGGAGGAGATGGAGCGACGTCGCAGGGGTAGTTCTGCTGGACAGTCACCCACTGTCCCACTTCGTCAATCACCACGACATATTAAAGTGTCTCAGCGCCTCTTGGAGCGTCCTACGCCACCGAGGGAAACGGTAATGTACTCGTTCCATCCGGAGATTTCACCACAAGCCATGTCCATAGAAAATCGAAATCCATTTTATCAACGCCTCTACCAAACGAAGGAGGAGATGGAGCAACGTCGCAGGGGTAGTTCTGCTGGACAGTCACCCACTGTCCCACTTCGTCAATCACCACGACATATTAAAGTGTCTCAGCGCCTCTTGGAGCGTCCTACGCCACCGAGGGAAACGGTAATGTACTCGTTCCATCCGGAGATTTCACGGCGTGCGAGGTCCATGGGGGCTAACGGCCCTGTTCATGAGCGGCTCTATCCCACAAAGGAGGAAAGATCGGCGGTCTTACAACGACAGCAGGATAGATTTGATGAGCTTTTGGCCTCCTTTCAGCCTTCCATTACGGACCGTGGCAGCCGTGCATACAAGGATTCTGGTGTGGTGAGACAAAATGCAGTTAGGCGGCTGACGGAGCCAAAAGAGCAGCCCCGGAAGTTTGTTGACCCCTCTCTCACCTTTCATCCCTTTATCACGCAAAAAGCTAAGAATTTGAAAACTGGGAGTTCGGCGGCATCATCTTGGCGGATCAGCAATTCAAATTAGTGAGATGAGTACTTCATTATGTATTATTTTTTTTGTGGTTTTTCGTTGGGGGAGTGCGTGGGGTGTATTTCCTTAACCATTACTTCATTAGTTTAGATTTTTTTTCTTTATTTCCCTCTTTTTTATATATACTGAAAAATGTATTATTCACGCCAGCACCACAAGAAGAAGACAATTTATTTTAAAAAATGTAAAGCAAAACGCATTCTTCTCTCTTGGTAATGATGAGTATTATCCATCTCTGTATGTGTGCGCGCGTTTCTGTGTGAGGACTTCCCTTTACGTCCACATGACTTTATTGTATGACTTATTTATTGATTGCTTTTTCCTTTCGTCTTATATATATATATATATATATATATATATCGATTTTAGTTTTACACTCTCTGAGCAAAGCAACGTGAAGGGGCGCCTCCTTGAGGCTACTGTGGAGTTGCCTTCCCACGTGTGTTTAGGGTGGGGAAACCCCTATAATGCAGCGCCTCGTGTGTGAAAGCTGCGGCGAGGGCGATGCTGTGTTGGCAAGCTGTGCGGAGTGTGGACGCCGTCTCTGCCGTCTCTGCATTAGCTGCGCATCGCAGTGTGCTGATTGTGCAGCAAAGGCTAAACGCACAAATCTAACGTGTGACATATGTAGGAATAAGGTGAAGGAGCTTTACTGGTGTGTCGTATGCGACTCTATGGTATGCAGGGCGTGTATCCATCAGTCATACATGAATCGGCCCACCACTGTTCTATGCAGAGGATGCCGGGCGTCGTCCCCGCTGGTGATGGCGGCGAAAACGTGCGGCAGATGTAATGAAGTGGTAGTAGATGAAACCACGCAGTATTACTGCGAGTTGTGTGCTTGCCCGCTATGTCGCAATTGCCTTTATGCTTCTTTTGAGTGTGGCGTGTTGAAGTGTCGGACGTGTTGTCCATCCCCTCTTCGGCTAATGAGCAACGACAGACATATTCGAAAGCTTTCAGTCGGCGGGTGGAAGTCCTTGATAACCCCCATTCTGCAAAAGGAGCCGGCAACAAGCGCATTAACAGAAGTAACGGCAGTGGTGGCGTCCGCGAGGCCCTCCGCACCCGTAACAAGCACAGAGGCAGGAGTGGCGTTGTCAAAGTATAGGCAGTTGAGCAATCGGGAGAAGCTGGGTGAGGGGGGCCAGGGGGTTGTGTTTAAGTGCAAAACATTGGACAATGAGGAGGTTGTTTCAAAGGAGATGACGTTTGACGATGCGGATCGGGCGGTTTTTGAGGCACGCCTCCTTCAAGCCGAAAGGATACGAAAGCTTTCCCACAAGCATCTAATACAGTATTTAGATGTGATTGGTTTGGAGAATCCGTTTAAGATTTGCGTTATCATGCCCTACTACTCCGAGGGTGACTTGTTTAATTACATCGGACGGCAGCGTGGACCAATCGAGGAGCACAAGCTTTGTTCCATTATCCTCCAAATAGCATCGGCCTTGCACTACTTACATTCCCAGAAACCACCTCTGGCACACTGTGACATCAAACCCGATAATATACTTCTCCTTAACCGCGAGGAACAAGTACTTCTTATGGATTTGGATTTGTGTCATTCCTGTGAGGCTCAGGTGAGCACGACGACACGAGTACTCCACGAGTGCAGAAGAAATTCCCCGACGCTTGAGTATCGTGCACCGGAGATGGTGAACTCATCGGGGTCCACAGAGTCTGATATTTTTAGTTTGGGTGTTGTCTCGTTTGTTTTGGCGACATTGCCCGAGTTTGTCATGCTCCGCAACGACAAGGGCATTATGACGGTGCTGAATGACTCGGACTGGACCCCAGACTCCTTGGCAGGTGCTGTTCGGGCGGCAATTCGACAACACACACGCGCCTACGCGGAGGAGTTGATTGATCTCATTATTAGGATGCTGCAGCATCGGCCAGCGTCTCGGCCCTCCGCGATTGAAGTCATGGTGAGGCTTACGCAAGCGATGGAGAATCTTCTTATGCGTTGCGATAAATGAGGGGTCGGGTGCGTCTACTTCGTCCACTCTTTTTGCTTGTCAGTTTCCACATTGTTTGTGGGTGTGTTTGTGTGTGCTTCTTTCTGGACGTTTTGACATCATTTTCCTGGTTGCGACTGCAGTTTTTTTTCCTGTTGTTGCTATGGCTTTACTTTACACTTCGTATGCTCATGGCTACGCACATGAATGTGTAAGACTAAAGTGTTTATGTGCCATTTTACGACTTGTATGGTGGTGGTGGTGGTGGTGGTGGTGGTGGTGGTGGTGGTGGTGGTGGGAGGAGGGGGGGGGGGCAGTTGCATCCAGCGACGGTGACGTGGCGAAGAGCAAAATCTCAGTGTGACACAATAGCAACGCGCAGAGGGGGTTCCGCGGCTCGCTGCCGAATGCCGTTGGAGAGGACAGGCGCACCGATGGAGCGTCAGAATATAAACCTTCTTTTGTGTGTGTTTCTTCTGCGTGTTGGCTCTCTATTATGTGCCGCCTATGACCTCGATCGTTTTTTTTGTTTTGTAATTTTTCCTACTTCTCTCTCTCTCTCTCTGTGCAGAAGTCTGTTGCCATGTCTGTGGATTTTACGTCAAAGGCT